GGTAGGAGGCATGGCCCGGCTCCTCCAGTCCTATTTCGCTAATGCTTCTGCATATGAGAGCTCAGCTAAGCCCATACACAGCCCCATAACCACTGATGCTCCTCTGATTTTCTAAGCCCCTGTTTGCATTCAGTATAATCTGACCTTGGTACATCACTAGGACATCTACTTCCTCATCAATGTAACTATACTGTTATTGGCCTCGTACAGTCATGCCAGCTACCAGGTTACTCAGTATGTCCTGCTCACTCAGTTTGTTCATTTTTCTGCCCTCTCAAAGTTGTGACTATGTCACTGCTCAATAGACAGAGTTCTGCAACAGATGTCATGTCCCATGCCTGCCCTTTTCCCCATGGAATCGCTGTCCTCAACCTCCCACTTGCTCAGTCTCTTCCTGGCTACCTTTAGTCTTCTCATAGTGGCCTAGTAGATACCAAGAGATTTCTTCCTACACTGGGAAAACAGAACAATAGACAGCAGTCAAATCTGTCAGGGACCCTAGCAGGCACCCTGGGTGTCTGGGAAAGAGAAAACAAAAATGTCACAGATCTTTTTAACATTTACAACCAATTCTGTTTACCCAGTCAAAACGTTTTCTTCCTCTGTGGGACCTCCACCTTCTTGCACCTCCCTGCTTATTGGACTGGGACCTGCACACTGACATACCTCATCCCCAAAATAGACGTTGCTCCTGGAACCCGGAATCTGCCTGTTGATGTTACAATCCAGGTCCGATGATGTAGAGCCATACATTTAATACCCCTGCTTAACAGTTTGGGTATCACCGCTGCTACAGGAATGGGCCTAGCAGGTTTGACTACCTCTGTGACCTCCTACCATTCCCTCTCCCAAGATCTTTCTGACAGCCTCAGACAAATAACTGATTCCATTCTCACTTTATAAAACCAGATAGACTCCCCGGCAGCAGTGACCCTTCAAAATCGTACAGGTTTAGGACTTCTTACCACAAAAAAAGTGGGTTATGTCTTCCTTGGAAAAAAATGTTTTTATATCAGTCAGTCAGGTGTAGCATGGGAAACAGCCAAAGGACTGACATAAAAGCCTTCAGAAATTAGACAGTTCCTATCTGACTTTTTTTTTGGCTTTTTGAGACAGTGTCTCACTGTCTTGTCCTGACTGGCCTTGCCTTGAACTCACAGTGATCCACCTGCCTCAGCCTCCACAACTCCTGGGATTATAGACGTGTGCCACCATGCCTAGCATGACTCTTGGACTAACGTTTGGGGGAGAAGTCTCATGGCTTGTTCCACTAGCTATACCCTTTATCTGTATTATCCTCCTCCTTCTCTTTGGTCCATATCTCCTCAGACATTCCTCTCAGTTTTTATAGGATTGTATATAAACAATTACCAACAGACAAATGCTACCTCTGATTTCTCTTCAGTAGAACCCTGTTCCCCTCAATTTTTCTCCCAATTAGGCTACCATGATACTCCCATGTCACCCCACTTGTTGCATCCGAAGTAGCCATGAGAAATTCCGCCCTCTCTCCTGACCCTCTCTGTATATAACAAGAAAAAGATGGGACTGTCAGGCCTGACCCTAGAGAAACCTTCATGGTGCCCACTACAGACAGTAGGCATTTTGGCTGCCCTTGGCAGACAAGAATTAAGGGCCATAAAGAAATGTAAGACTGGACCTCCAGTCTTCCTGACAGTGGTTCTATATACACATATGCACTGATTGTCCTTGCAGCTTTGACTTCAAACATTCCACCCAGATTCTTGAGACTGCGACCCCCAGCCCTAAACCCTATTTATACTTTGTTTGTTTTTCTCCGGTACCGGGAACCGAACTCACGACCTTGCGCTTGCCAGGCAGGCGCTTTTGCCGCTGAGCTAAATCCCCAGCCCACCCTATTTATACTTAGCCTCTGCTCCAGATAGCCGCTGATACCACTCCAGTTCTAGCCTTCCTGTATGTAGGCAGAATAAAACTAGTGTTTCCACAGTATCGGTCTCCAGGTGTTTCCTCACGTGCCGTTATTTAACACCCTCCCCACGAATAAATAAAAACGGCTCTCATTTCTCAGCCTAACTCGCCTCTGGGTTCCCAACTTTAGCCTCATAGCTAGACCCCTGTATAATGCCTCTCAAAAAACCCATACCCTCATTCCCTCCCCGGCTCAGGGTATCATTCAGCCAATACCTGTTCACAGGCAAAAGCTCCTCCCAAGCCCCTAATACCCTCCCCTTCACCATTTCTCTCCCCTCTCTAAGCAGGTAGATTTCTTAATAGATCTGCCTACATAGATGCCCACTCACTAACCTCCAAGGTCAAATGGACTCACTGGCTGCTGTTGTAACCCCAAACTTCTGAGGCCCAGACTTGTTTGCCACTTGCCCTTCTCCAGAAAAGCTGCTATTTCTTCACCAACATGTCCAGACTCTCACAGGGTGGCACCAAAGGACCGTGTGATCAAGCCACCACCCTAAAAAATTAGGCCTCGTCTCAGCCCTTCCTGGCTGCATGACCAGCTCCTGGCCAATGCCCCTTCTTGAGCCCATTGTTTTAATACCCTCCTCTACTGCGTTTCTCACCAGCTGCCCCTATGGGTCCCACAACAGCCACCATAGTTCCTGGAATGGCTGTTCCCAGCTGCCTGAGCCCAGGGAACAATGCCTACACTGCTAGAACATGGCACACCCACCCACCTGCTAGGTCACAGTGCACCCACAACAGAACATTAGCCTTTGCTATGGCCTTGTACTCAGCTACTCTTACTCACCCAATCTCATGCCCCCTTTCTCTTTGCCCCACCTACGCCTACCCCATTAACACACCCCCCCAACTCTATCAATAAAAGACCCAGCTCAATAAACTTGACTCGGACTCTCCTTCAGAGTTATTCTGGGGAGGTGTCACTTGGAACTCCGGATTCTTTTTTTTAGCTCCAAATTCTTCCAGTCTCTTAACAAAGTACTAAAATTTTTATTGGGATAAATGTAAGGGATATTGTTTCTCAGGTGGTAAATGGAGGTCCTAGAGGGGTGGGCTCCACCCTGATCTCTTGGGAGTTTCTAAGAGAGCCCCTAGGGGGCACCCTTCTCTCTAAGGAGTCAGTGGGCCCAGGGATGAGCTGTGGGAAATACCCAGCAGATCTCACTGATCTCACCATTAGGATAAACTAGGAAATGTGAGAGATGGGTACAAAATGGCAGTTACTATTCTTCAGTTAGATCTTTTTGCAAAAGGGAAGGAAATTGATGTGAAGTTCCTTATGGTCAGGCTCTTATGGCTCTTTATCTCAGTAAAGACCCAGAAACCATGGTATTTAAAGAGGACTACAAAGAAAACAAAATTGATATTATTGACGATCCTGTCCCCAGATGACCACCTGTCTTTCAGGGGGGAGATGGGTCTCTCCTGTTTTCTAAGTGCCCCAGAGAGACCCAATATTTTCAAAAGATCCTGGTAGGGTCACAGATGGGCCTCCAGAGCCCTATGACCCAGTTGTTAGGCATGGCCTTTTCTATATTCAGCTATCTAGATGTAGATATAGATGAAGATGAAAGGAAAGGACCATAAAAAAGACAGGCCAAAATCATGGCTATCTCAGTTGGCAATGCTTCAAGCACACTCAAGCCATCCAAGGGAAAACCCAGAGCCAATCAAGGCTGCAAGAAACCTGGACAGTGGGTCCATCATGCCTGTACCAAGCTACCACCTGGGCACTGCTCCGTGTTTCAGGTGGCTCATGTGCCTGATTCATGGCATGGAGTATTGACTGTCCCTGCTCCCACCCAAAAACTTCACCTTCTGTCCACAAAAGAGGACAAAAGGGGCCTGGGACAAACTGCAATGCCTTGTCCATGGGCACTTCTAGATCGTGCAAGAAATTGTGGGTGACACTAGATGTCATGGGATAAAGCCAGCTCCACTTGAACCATCTGAATAAAAAGAACATCCAAAAGAAGAAAGCCAGTCCTGTGCATCTCTGGAAGACTGGGTCTCTTCAAAAACCAAGACTGTAGTATTGCTCCAGGACTTTTTCCTTCACCCCAGCTAGAGAGCCACAACATCCCAAGGTAGTTGGAGAGCACCTAATCCCCAGTGCTTAGGAGCTATAGCCATTTTCAGCTGAAAGTAGCTATATGAATTCAGAGGCCCACCACACCCTCAGCAGCCCATACAGAATTATGGGGATTTATGTTGCTCAGGGAAAAATTAGGCAGGAGATTAGGGTGTGGCAAGCCAGCTGAGCAAGTGGGCATGCCAGGGTATGTGCAGAAAAACAGTTCTGCACAACTGTAAGCAAAGGAATGGGAGATACAAAAGATGGCTGCCTTTCATAAATGTAAACCCTTGCTACCTTTTGTGCTTATTTTGTCAAATTCTTTGTTCAGGACAAGTAGAACCTAGAATGAATCTCTAGAAGACAATCCCAGAACCCCAGAATCCAGTAACACTTATTGCTATGACAAGAAATGCCTTGACTGTCTCACTTGTCAATCTCTCTCCATCAAATAGCACAGTGTCTGATCTGAAGCTATTGTTTAAAGTACTTGTTGAATGAGTGGACAGATGGATGCAGTGGGTAGATGGCCCAATGCTTTTTTAGCTCCGCTTCACTTTTCCTAACACACACACACACATACACACACACACTGAAGCACTCAACAGGCTTTCTTTTTCTTTCTTCCTTTCTTTCTTTTTTTTCCTTCTTTCTTTATCTTTCCTTCCTTTTTTTTTTTTTTTTTTTTTGGGTGCTGGGCATTGAATGCAGGACCTCATGTATGCTAGACACATGATCTTCTACTGAGCTATAGTCCTAGCACAAGGCTGCTTATTTCTTAAAGAACTAGCCTGGGACCTGGCTCAAGTTTTCTAGACAACACCATTAGAAACTGTTATCATGGCTCCCATTTGAATGCAGAAGGCCTTAGAAAAACATGTTTCCATATGTGAATGTACTTGAAGGGAGCTGGAAGTTTGAGAATGGCCTTGGACAATTTTCCAGTCAAAAACTGTTACAGAAAGTCATTTTATTCAACAGTAGGACTCCTCAGGAGACATTAAGTGCTAGCAAGAAAGAGGGTGTCTTGGTTACTTTTCTCTTGTTGCTGGGACAAAATACCTGATGCCCAAAATAAAGGAAGGAAAAGTTTATTTCGCTTACAGTTTGTGGAGGTTTCAGTCCATACTTGGCAGATTACAAGGCAGAGTGGCACATGGCAGAGGGCTACAGCTCATGGCAGCAGAACACAGCAAAGCAACAAGCACACACACGAGGGAGGAAATGGCCAGAAGCACCCTCTTTCTCTCCCTTACGTATGCAAACTATCCACTCCAGGGTGGGTGTAGCTCTCACATCCACAATCAATCAAACTCTAAAAGCCTGCCCCATGGCCGCATGAGGCTTTGGGAGGACACCCAGACACAAACCATAACAGAGGGTAAAAGCTTCAGGGGGTGGGCCTGAGAGCATAGGCATGAAGCTCCTTGTGTACCCCTGCTGACTTCCTCCAGTTTGAGGAATCCTAAATCCTCCTCACCTGTGTTGTGGTTGCTGGCAATGCTTGAGGTCAGGAATCCAGCTGGCAGATTAGGCGTCAGCGAGGCTGCTTTGCGCTTGACTCCTCCTTGGCTTGTAGAATGCACACATGGTTACTTCTGTACCAGAAGGAACTTTGGAGGATTGAGAGGAGGAACATTAGTGTTTCTAGCAGGTTAAGCCCTGGATGTCCAAAGCAGCTCCTCCTTTCAACCACCATTTCTGGATCTTTCCTATAGCTGTTAGTAGGAAAGAAAGATCCTGACTGAATTGGGATCAGGGAGAATTTCTAGTTTCTATCTCCAGAAGAAGGCAGTGGGGCTGAGGATATAGCTCAGTGGTGCAGCACTTGCCTGGCAAGCGCAAGGTTGTGAGTTCGATTCCCAGTACCCAAAAAAAAAGTCCAGAAGAAGGCAGTGGAGGTCACTGAATAAGAAGTATTAGCTCTTTTATCTAATGTCCATCTTCTCAAAAGAATTGCTCAGCCATTCTTCAGTCTTGTCAGCAGTGTTCAAGTGGCGAATTTTGGGGCTAGGGAACTCTGACTGTTGGTTATATTCTTCCATAAATCGAGGTCTTTTGAGAGCGTGTACGGATGCTGGCTTCTTGGGTTTGGTCATTACTGGACTAACCATGGAAGCATCCTCATAGGGCCACTTGGATGCTGGTTTCTCTTCTTTAACCTTTACTGGGGTGGTGATGGCAGCATCCCCATAAGAACGGTAGTTACCAATCAGGCAGTATGTTTCTCCGTGCCAGCTTACCTGGGTTTCTCCACGTCTTCGGTAGAGGACGTGGTAGTAAAGAGGTGTAGAAGGAGCTTTGGGTTGCTCTGCTCCTAGAAAAAAAAAAACAGAAATGATCACTACTTTTCCTGTATACAGTATGCTGCTAACACCTGCCTCTCTCATTTACCTTCCTGAATGAAGCCTGCTAATCTACCTGGCAACCCAAAGACTTGGTCTGTCCCTTTTATAGGTCCCCCAGGAAGGGATGTTTGTTGTAAAAGCACTTTTTTGGAAGAAACAAGAGACTATAACGTCCTTTCCTTATTCCCACAGAGAACAGGAAACCCTGAAAATAATTGAAAATGGGATAGCCTTCATCTCTAACTATCAAGATTGGCCCCAAAAGGTCTTCTTCTACCAAGTCAATCCTGGGACCCTTTTTCCTCTATCTCCAATCTCACTAGGAGTTTAGCTCTCTCCAGGCTTTTCATTCCCAGCAGTGTAACACCTGCCTTGTCCTAGTCCTCAGCAACTAAGCGTGCGATGTGTCTGGAGGGCCAATGTATGTGTCTTTATGACAGCATAGTAAAGATGCCTGAGTCTTAAGGTGAGGTTCTTGAGAAGCTTTCATCAGATCTTTCTCAAACTGATCTTATCTCTTAACAGCCAAATTCACTTTGCTTTTCAAGAAAGAGTCTGAGGAAAGACTGTCTTTTTTTGTTTGTTTGTTTGTTTGTTTTCCAGTACTAAACTCACGACCTTGCACTTTCCAGGCAGGCGCTGTGCCTCTGAGTTAAATCCCCAGCCCCTGTCTGTCTTTTTAAGAGGATGTTTTACTATGTTGTCCAGTCTAGTTATGAACTTTGGGGTTGACTTATCCTCCTTCTTCACTGTTGTAAATAACTGGGACTGTAGGTGCCTCCACTGCACCTGGTATGAAGGAAGCATCTTGTAGCCCAAAGGGATGGCTGAATTAATGATGACTTGGGCCTTTAAAAATGCTTGCCCAGAGATATCATGTCCATAGCCTGCACATTGTGCAGGAACTCTCTAGGTGCCTTGAAATGGCTCTCTCAGTTCTCATGCTCTCAGTTCTGCTCGTGACTTGGGAAGAGTGGAAGTATGGGGGAAAGAACAAAAGAAAGTTGTGTGTACCCCAAGCCTTCCTCTACAGTTGCCCAACTTAGTCTTAACTGCTACACTGCTGTCCCAAGGAACAGATGACAGGTGAGCCTGAAGATAGATGACCATGTGAGCTATTCCCTCCAGACAACCAAACACACTGGTGTTTAGAAGAGAAAAGGTAAGAGAGGTTTCCCCAGATTTGAACAGATTCTTCTCTGTGAAAGCCAGGAGGCTTGTAATGTCATCATTACCCAGCAAGGTCATATGTAAAATTCTGAGCTGATGTTCAGACTCCAGGCGGTCAGTGTTTGATGAAGGAGAACAGGGCGACACTAGGGGACCCCTCCTGGGTTCCCACCCATCCTCCCTACCCACATCCTCGTCAAGTAGCAACTCTTTGTGTAGCAAATTCCTGTGGGTGGCCACACCCCCAGTGACCACAGGAGGGGAGGAAAATCCCAAATTATGATTTGGGCCAGAGAGTCAAGGTTAACCTAAGAAACATTTTGCGGAGTTCTGACCCGGAGAACTCGGCAGTTAGAGAGGCAGAGATTTGGGTAAATTAGGGAATGAGGCAAGGCACCTCCGAGGGGTGGTGAAGGCACCTCTGAAGCGTAGCTGAGATTGGAAATGTGTGACAGAAAGACATCCTGGTTGTGCAGAATAAAAGAAGAGAGAGGATCTTCCTAATTTGTTTTCTTCACCATATGTATATTTATAGAAGATGTATATCTTTACAACCCAGTTCTCTAAAAATGAGGCTGCAAGGGGCCCTACTCAAGGTAACACAAGCAGTCTAGAGAAGTTCTGGGGCTTCACGTTGTTCGTGTTGAGCTCAGGATTGTACCTCAGAGTAATGTGTGGACAAGCTCAGCACGTTGGAAGGTGACAGGCCTGGGGAAGGAATTTCAAGTTGCTCCAAGCTAAATGAGGATTTCCAATGACTTTACAAGGAAGGAAAGACCAATTTACCATAAAATTCAAACCACATTCATGATAAAATGTCTTAATACAAAGTGACAGCCTTATCATTTCACTCCCCTTTTTTAAAAATACAAACTATTGAACAGGGTATTAGAGACTTTGCCTCACTGTCCAAGACCCTAGGTTATATGAAAGCATTGAAAAAAAGAAAAAAAAAAAAGAAATCAACCCAGAAAGTCATGAATCCTCTGAATTCAGAGTCCTACCTCAGAGTATTATTTTGAAGGAAATCCAAGACATGTTCATTTATGTTACAAATCATGATAGAATACAAAATCAAAACCTGAAATCTACTTTAGGTTTTATGAGTCATGGAAAATATTACTCTCAAATGCTGGCCCGGAGCCTCTCATTCAAAGTTGGAAGAAGCAGGGGCTGGGGATTTAGCTCAGTGGCAAAGCGCCTGCCTGGCAAGCACAAAGTCGTGAGTTCGGTTCCCGGTACCGGACAAAAACAAAAAAACAAAACAAACAAACAAACAAACAAACAAAAAAACAAAAAACAAAGTTGGAAGAAGCCCACCAGGACTTCAGGGGAGTGACAGGGCAGGCAAATGCCTCTTACTCACAAGGTGCCTCACACACCAGGGACTCTGGGAAAGATCCCTGTTCTAGCATCACCTTCAAACTAGCCATAATCAAGATTTCTGTGGCTTAAGCTCCTTCACAAAGGACACTAGTCCTGAAAGTCTTCTCCTTCAGCAACCTACAGCTAAATCTTCTGAACTTCCAGGCTTGCGTTCCAGAGTCACAAATTTGATGTCAGCATCTGACACTTTTTCTCTGCATATGTGGCCATCCCTGCTCTGAAATATCATCTTTCAAGCTGAGGGGCAAATCATAATTGACCACCGGTTCCACATATGTGTTGACCAGGCCAGAGAACCCTTCTATAAGCACTGGAAGTTCCCTCCCCTTCTTAAAGGTGGCCCTTGTGTGCTATAAGCCTTGCAGTTTAGATTTTGTGTTCATTCAGAATATATTCTACCCTATTGTCCAATCACTAAGTTTGTCCATGCTGGTCTCGAATTTGTGATCCTCCTGGCTCAGCCTCCCAGTGTGCTGGGAATACACATGGGTCATCCGTGTCTGGCTTTCTCTTGTGTCCACAAGATAGTACAATGGAGCTGGAGAGAAAACTAGAGAGGCCTGTGATGCAGAAACTGTTTCCAAAGAGATGGCTAAGGATGTTGCCAGGACTCTGACACCTTCCTCTGAATTGTGATTATAAGTTGTCTCAAGAATGGCAGTTCATGGAAACGTCACTATCCCAGCCTGCTCAGGTGACTTACCTTCTTTACAAACAGGGACATGGAGAGCCTCTCTGCTCTCTACAGATCATGTTTGCTGTGACCTCTCCTCCCTCTTTGCCTCCTTTTCAATAAGACTGTGGTGATTTTTCACTGCTGAGCTAGAAAGTGAATTCAGTGAGGCCCCCTCCCCCGCCCCAAGTCTATTGTGACAGGTAGCACCACATCTCCGCACAAAGCAAGCACACAAATGACATTATTTGGAGTGCGAGTGCCCTTGACACTCAGAAGACTCTGGTCACCTCTTGCTTCCAGCCGCAAGCGCATGTGGCAACCCTGATTCTGTGAGCAGCTAGGCCCAGAACTGTGCTACCAGTCCAACATGTGATTGCCCATTCTAGTCTGCACACAAATAAAGCTTTGTTTTGTTTTTCACCAGCCTCACTTTCACGTTAGAAAACACCTCTAGGATAGGCAAAGGAGCACATTGATGCCCTTCTGGCCAAGGCACATAGAGATGACTTGAATCCCTCCTCTCCCAGATAACGTCACTCTCCTCATCTGTTTGCCTAGACATCCTTTGCTGGTCACCCTGGATCATGGCAAATTGCTGGGGTTTTTAGTGAGTTGCCAGGACAAGCCTCCACTCATCACACATGCTGGTATGAACATCCAGAAAGGTAGGCTACAGAGACACCTGTCCTACTCATCTTAGGTGACAGCAGCTGTTCACAAGCACAGTGCGTCTCAGAGCCCTCCCAGCATTTGGTTTACGGGCAGACAGCCTCCCTCCTTGGCTCCCACAAGCAAGCTTACCCCATGAAGCTGAGCATCTGAGCTCCCACTGAAGCCGATCTAAATGAGCATCGGGTTGCCCCTGCAGTGATTTAATTGCTTTACCTTCTTTTGCTCTGTTTTGTTTTTGGTTTTGTCTTTTTTGTCTTGTTTCTCCCTGGAGTCCAGGCTGGCTTCTATCTCGAGGTCCTTTTGCTGCAGCCTTCTGAATACATGGTTGAACCAGCACACACAGATGAGTTTTCCAAATGCTTGAGTTTGTGGGTTGCATTCTGTATCAGTCAGAGTTCACTAGATGAATAGATTTAGTATAAAAAAGCACATATATGGTAAATGATGTATACAGATTTTCAAGGTAGGCTTACAGTGGCTGCCCACAGTGTCAGGTGTGAAAGAATGCAAAAAGGCAGTCTGCACGCTGGACAGCCGGGTGATCCAGTCACAGATCAAAGGCCTAGAGCCCACTTCAGAGTTCCAGGAAAGTCCATATCAGGAAGCCGGACAGTCTGTGCCGAAAGGCTGGAAAGTCGGTGCTGGAAGCCTGGAGACAGATACGCAAAGGTGATGGTGAAGACTGGAGCTCTTTGAAGAAGCAGAAGAGACTTCCTTCTTTCCCTTTTTGTTCCATCCAGGCTACAAGCCTATTTGTTGATGTCACCCACATCCAGGGTAGGTCTTCCTTTTCAGCAAGTCAGTCATCTAGACACACCCAGAACTGCGCTGAACCAATCAGCTGTTCCTTATTTAAATTTGACCCCACAGGGCTGGAGATACCTGGCAAACACAAGGTCCTCGGTTCAAACCCCAGTACAAAAAAAAAAAAATTGACGCCACAGTTAACTATCGCACATTCTATGGTAATTTTTTTTTTTTTTTGAGACAGGGTCTCACTATGCAGTTCAGACTGGCCTTGAACTCACTATGTAGCCCAGACTGGCCTCAAACTCATGGCAATCCTCCTGCCTCAGCCTCCCCAGTTCTGGGATTATAAGCAACCAACACCACACCTGACAACCTGACAACCGTGGTGACATTTTTTGTTTTTCTATTCCTTATTTGTCCTATAAACTGGTGTTTGTGGTAAACGTATATTCACTGAAAGGTTGGTTCATTTGTTCATTTATAGATGTGATCTCAATATGTAGCCTGGGCTGGTGTCTAACTCATGGGCTCAAGTAATCTTCCCTCCATGTCCCAAGTAGCTGAGACTGTAGACATGTACCAATGTGGTGACTACTGAAAGCTTTTAAAAATAAAGATACCCTGCTGGGCTTTGTAGTAGATGCCTGTAATCCCAGCATTCAGGAGGCTGAAGCAGGAAGATTGCCATTGAGTCCTAGCTCAGCCTGGACTACATAGTGAGTTCAAGGCCAGCCTGAACTATATAAAGAGATACTGTCTCCAAAAAAAGAAAGAAAGAGAAAGAAAGAAAGAAAGGAAGAAGGAAAGAAAGAAGAAAGAAAGAAAGAAAGAAAGAAAGAAAGAAAGAAAGAAAGAAAGAAAGAAAGAAAGAAAGAAAGAAAAAGAATGCCCAGCCCCTCATCCTAAAAGCTTACCTGCACTGGTATGTGTGGTGGGAATCTCTCATTCCTAATAGTTCCAGTTGAGTCTGTTTTTCTCATGTTTGGATGATCTCCACTCTGAGCCCTCTCGTAATCACAGATCTGCTCCAGTCACACCTAGTATCAGAGAGGAACTTGGGAGAGTTAATTGAGACTCTCAGCAGGGGTACTGTGAGAGCCACAGGCCCTGTGCTTCCTTCTAACCCAGGTTAAGAAAAGTCTATGTCACAAGATCTTTCCCTGTCTTGCAGGTATGCATGTCAGGGGGAAAATCAACAGTCTTGCCTTTGTAGCCCCTCAGAACAAGTATGCTGTCCCCAGGGTATGGTGACTCACTAGGGCTAGGGGCTATGTGTGGCTGACTGTGCTGGTTCTTTTTTTCAGCTGCTGATGTGGATGGGCCTGGTTCATAGGTCTACCTGTCTACCTGTGTGCTTCTCTAATGATTCTCCCCACCCCCAGTTCCTCAGGTCCAACTGTCCTCTTAACTGCTAAGACAGACATTCTCCTCATTTATTTTTGTTTTTTGAGACAAGGTCTAGCTATGTAGATCAGGCTGTCTTTGAAGTCACTATGTAGCCCAGGCTGGCCTGGGACTCATGGTAATCTTCCTGTCTCAGCCTCCTGTGTGTTAAGACATTCTTCTTGTAACAACCAGTACCTCACTCCCGTCATTCAGAGCAGCGAGGGTGATCTTTTTAGCATCTAATGAGATTTTTTCCTACCTTCGTTATATTCCTGCCACAGCTTTCTCTTATACCTGAAACAAGATACACACTCCTCACCATGACGGACAAGGTTCACACCTACCTCTCCAACCACATCTTTCATTGTTCTCTAGATGGAAGCAACTCCATAGGTCCAGTTGCCACCGACCAGGCAGCAGTTCTCTCCATGCACTCCCACCTGGATTTCTCCACACCCTTGGTAGAGAACACAGCAGTAAATATATGTAAGAGGAGCTGTGGGCAGCACTGCTGCTAGGAAATAAAAACAGAACCAATAAGTAACTTCTGCTTTATACACTGTGCTGCTAGAATTTAACATTCTCCTCTGCCTTCCTGGCTGGAGCCCACCAATGTATTTGGCATGCCACACATATACTTGGCCTTTGCTTCTATAGATCCCCCAAGATGGGATGTTGGCTGTAAAAATGCTTGGATTTTATGGAACCAACAGCACCAAAAAAGTAGAACATCTGTTACTTCTAATGACACTCCCCTCTCATATAAAAGGTGATAAATGCATAGGGTTATCATACAGCTCAGTAGTAGACTATTTGCTTCACATAGATGACATCCTGGATGCAATCCCAGCAGTGAAAAAAAATCAACCAATGTCCTTTGAGCTGCATGTGGTGGTTTGGAGTGTGAAGCATCAGAATTCATAAAATTCTACCCTCATGGTAATTCACGTGAATGGAGTTCTTGAACAGGTAATTTACTGTTAGAAATCATGACATGATACACAGTCACATTCCATAGTCCACTTCAACTTTAGTACATCATGGGGAAGACTAGCCTCTGTGGGCCAGCAGCTTCTCTTTCAAAGTCATGCCACAGGGCAGGCAGATGATAAGGGCGCTCACCTACTGATAAGGGTGCTCACCCGCTCAGGATACTTAGAAAGACATGTGCTCTAGCATAACATTTCAGACAGTAAAAGTCAGGTTTGCCAAGGAAAAATCTCTCATTTGAGGATGCTAGTTCTTGAAAGCAACTTGTTCAACGAGCTGCCAGCTTATGCTCTGAACCAGACTCAATTCCTAGGAATTGGCCCCAAAGCTGATGATGATTCCTGGTGCCTCTCTTCCCACAAGGTCCACCCTCCCTGCTATGTGGGTGGCATCATGTAGGGTGAGGAGGAAGTCGTAGTTAACAAATGACTTCTCGTGGATGCTGTGCGGGAGGGTGGCTTACAAGGCACCAGGTTCTGGGAGCTAGTCTGCCCCAACATCTCACAGCAGTTAGCCTCAAGGTTAGATTTGCTGTCTCTTTGGCTCCACCTGGTCTGCTCATCTCAGGTGACAATATGCTGTTCACAGGTACAGCGCATCTCAGAGCCTCATCAGTATTTGGTTTGTGTACAGGCAGCCTTCCTCTTTGGCCTGGCTTCATGACTTCCACAACTGAGCTTACTCTGCCCAGCTTAGCATCTGAGCTCTCACTGATTCTCTGTATGAGAATCAGGCTATGCCTGAGAAGTCTTTATCTTTTTTCTTTTGAGGCAGATTTTATTATGGAGCCTAGGCTGATCTCTAATTCAAGATCCTCCTGCCTCAGCCTTCTGAGTGCTTGGATACAGGCATTGGCCACCATAGCTGGGTGAGTTTTCCATGTTTTTAAAATTTGCCTTGTTTTTAAAAGTTTCCCATGGTTTCATTTTACATGTTCTCCTCCTTTTGTTTTCTATCAATGTGAGAATTTTTATCAATAATCAACTGATTGACTCATTCATTCATTCACTAAATATATTGGCTAGGGTAGCATTCAATTCATGGGATCAAGCATTTATTCTTGCCAGGTATATAGCTCAGCAGCACAGTGCCTGCCTGGCAAGTGCAAGGTCCTGAGTTCAATTCCCAGTACCAAAAAAAAGGCAGTTATTCTTATTTAGATCTCAAAATCTAAACTGGAACTTTAGGCACTCCCAACAGCAGCCATCTATAGGAAGATTTACAAATATAGCTATTGAGGCCTTACCCTAAAATTACTTAAACTGGTATGGATGGTGATGATCCATCATTCCTATGAGCACCAGGTGATCCTGTTTTTCTCATGCTTTGGAATT